CAAATAAATCTGTTCTTGAAATTGCCAAGCAGATGCCTCTCACAACAAGACAGTTAGATCGACTGCTCATTTCAAAACACCCCTATGTTGAACACAATCTTGATATTGTTGTCAACATCATTAGGAACTCAATTCAAAATGCTGCTGCCTTTGAAGAAGCTGCTCAACAATTGAAACAAGGACATGTTGCCTCCTTTGAAGGAGCTGCTCAACAATTGAAACAAGGACATGCTGCTGCTATTGCATCAGATGCACTACCGGTTACATATCCCCTACCCCATAGACAAAAACCCACTTCGGCCAACTCTGCTTATGTAGTAGTATATACACCTTTGCCTTACTGGTGTGTAACCCCTGTCAAATTTTACTGGTGTGTAACCCCTGTCAAATTTTAGATGCCAGTAGTATTTTGATGTAAATAACTTTTTCTTTGTTGTTAATTCACTATTGCTTATGTCAACATTTTTGTTATGTCACGACTATGTCTCTCTAGTTCAATATACCTACGGTGACTTATTAGTAGGTTTTATGGTTCTAGTTAGACTTCAATTTGATTTGAAGGTAAGGAGAGCAATTTTCTTCCCCTCAAGAAACTTTAATTGGAATCATGCAGGAAGCCAAAAAGATTGAGGATTCTAAGTACATAAAGTTAACAATTTTATGGGTTTAAGGCAAGGAAGAGTTCAATGGTTTTTTTATGCTTTTTAAACGAGTAAGGAGTGATTAAATGGTATGAATCTGATTAAAAAAAAAAAAAAAAAAGAATCCGATGGGCTTGAACAAGTGATGAGTGACAATAATTGTTCGGCAGTGCACAAAGTCTGTCTTCCTCTGCCCTCTTTTTATGTTACTTGTATATAATGTTCGATATTTAAAAAGATGTGATAATCCACTAAATGAAATTACGTAAAGGCATGTGCCGATACGCGTGAGGCATTTTTATTTTTTTTTGAAAATGTGAAATAATTAGCCCTCATTTGGTGGTGTTATGTTACAGGTAGTACCATTGGGAAAGAAATATGATGAGAAATACAAACAAGTGGCAGAAATAGCATCGAAATTACTTGTCACATGTGTTATACTTGTCACGCGTGTCAAATTACTTCATGCTGTCTTAATTTTCATGTGATTGAAAGAGTGCTTCAATTTATACTTGAAGTAAGATTTTTCTTCTCAACAGCCATCTTTGATGGCTATCCTTTTGCAAGACGAAAGCTCAAATATATAGGTATTAACATTCACTGAAAAACACTTGAACAAGGAATTACTCAAGTTTTAACTAGCATTAATTCACCAAGAATGCATAGACTTTCCAGCTGTTGGTATATCTTCCCGCACAGAGGTTGATAATTGAAAGCATGACATATGTAGGTAATATTAGTTATCAAACACACATATTAATTTATGCACAAATTTAGGAGTATGGTAAAGTTATTAATAAAATATAAGTAAATAAATTGGAGTTCTGATGGATGACCACCAACAAATGTGTAAAGACTAAAGAATAAATGATAATTTTAATACGGAGAATTTCATATGAACTACAATTATTATAGGAAAACTTGAAAATAATTATCGGAATCAAATTTGTATAGCTTTTGTAAATAAGTTTTTTCCAAAATTTTAGTGGTTCTTATTTTAAAGAAAGATAATTTCATTCTAAAGTTTTTCATAGTAAAATAGTGTTCTTAATCCCTTTTAGTAAAAATAAAATTTAGAATCATTTTATAATAAAAAAAAAAAAAATCGGTTTTAAAATTTAAGTAGCTATACCTATTTTAGTAGGTGTGCTTGAAGATGTCACTCAAAAATGTTATTTACATAATTCTCATATAATCTGAAATAAATTTTAAAAAAAATTATTGTTTCATGCTTGTGGTTTGGAATGTAAATGGGGTAGGTTAACCTATAGAGATATATGACCTAGTCTATATTAGGTCAGACTTTGCCTATTATAAATAGTCAAATAATACAGATATAGGCTTTTAAAAAAACATATTTAGAAAGTAGGCCCCAGGCCTTTTTGTATATGTCGAGCATATAAATTTATCAGCCTATATTATATTATTTATTTTAAATAAATAAAAAATATTATTTTATTATCCTAATAATTATGGATAATAAAATAATATTATTTTTTGTAATGATCTGATATTTAATAGCTTATAGGCCTAAGCCAAAGTTTATATTTAGGGTTTAGGGTTTTGGCATGATTTTTCTTTTTAATTTTCCATTTTTTTTCTTTTTAATGATTTAATGGAGTATTTTTTACCTGATTTTTTCAATGTTACTGCTAACATATGGATGAAATTAAACCTCAGGTGCACAGGGAATATCCAAGGCTTTGTTTGGAGGAAGATTTTTGGTGTCTTATGCTGGTTCATTTGGAAGAAACACAATCTTTTTGTTTTTGAGAGTAAAGTTTCAGAACCGATGTCTGTTGTGAGAGCAGCAAAGGTCTATATGATTAGTGCCCGCAATATTGTTTGTGATAATGGCCTGCAAAGTCATGAGAAGAATTGGAGATTCATTGGCTGGAATTTTCCTGATAATGGATGGTGCAAGGCTAACGTTGATGGGTTCAGTACGGCTGGTGGTAGAAGGTCTAGTTGCGGCGATGTGATTCGTGATGCCTCCGGCAAATGGTTGGCTAGGTTCTATAGAAATCTAGGGGTGGGTTCATCCTCTAGAGCGGAGGTGTGGGGCTTCCTGCATGGCGTTGAAGTGGCATGGACTTTGGGTTTTCGAAAAATATTATTCGAAGGGGACTCCCTCTTGGCGGTTACCCTTATCTTGAAGGGTTGTGAGAGGCCTCACCCTCTAGCCCCTCTGATCTGTCGTATCCGGAGATTGTTACAGGGGCAATGGGACATTAAGCTTTGCCACTCCTATAGAGAGGGCAACATGGTTGCCGACAAGCTTGCAGCTTTAGGAAGTTCTCTTTCGGACTGGAATTTACATGTACTGCATGTGCCTCCATTGCCTTGTATCGCCTTGTTGAACATGGATCTGCTGGGTGCAACTCACCCTAGACTTTGCTCTATGTAACTTTTATTTCCATTACTTACAAAAAAAAGTTTATATTTTTTAAATATAGATCAGACATGTAATTTGGGCATACACAAACTAATAGGCCAGACCTAAGATTTTTTACACTGACTTAATCTTTTTAAACCAAAGTATAACCTAGCCTAATATATTTACGATACAACCCTACTTGTGGTGTACATAATTTCTAGGTGTGCTTGTTTAAGTGGTGCTCGGTGCTCCAATCCAAGGGATCAAGTGCTAACTAAATTGATGGCAACCAAGTCTCTGGGCACAGCTGCAGAACCTCCCTATTCCTCTGCTGAAACACCTGCACCTCCATCTCCTCCTCTTGTGAATCAACCACAACCACTGTCGCCACCACCGCTGAAGCCCGAGCTCCCATTGTCTGATTCCAAAGAGGCTAACCTAATCCTAATCCCCAGCCGCTCCAGATGGTTTCATGGGTTTCTATTCACCAATGCGAGGTTCGTCACCTCCTCCAGGACAAGAAAAATTGGTCTGCCGCTTGAAGAAGAGCCTATACGGCTTAAAACAAGCACCTCGCCAGAGGTTTGAATCTTTCATGACTGATCATAAGTTTATGAAAACTGAAGCCGACCACTGCATATTTGTCAAGAGGTATAAAGCTAGAGATTTTTTTATTTTACTCTTATAAATCGAAGCAGTGGTAAAACTGTTCCTTCATGACTGAAAGGTCATGGATTCGAATCCAGGAAACGGTCTCTTTGCAATTATGCAAAGTAAGACTGCGTACAAGGATTTTCCCCACCCCATACTCGCTAGTCGGGTTTAACAGGGAGTGATTTTTATGTTGACGACATGCTGATTGTAGGGCGAGACAAGTCGAAGATAACCGCCATGAAGAAGGCATTGAGCTCATCCTTCGCAATGAAGGACCTCGGTCCTGCAAAATAGATCCTCGGAACCCAGATAATCCGAGACTTACATAGAAAACTAATGTGGCTGACTCAAGAAAAATATATTTAGAAGATTTTGACGAGATTTAACATGGACAAAGCCAAAACAGTAAGCACCCCCTTATCTGGACATATAAAGCTAAACTAGAAGCAGTCTGAGATCTGATAAAGAGAAAAACGAGATGTTGAAGATCCCGTACTAGTCCGCCGTCGGAAGTTTGATGTATGCAATGGTATATATGAGACCCGACTTGGCGTATGCTGCTAGAATGGTGAGCCGATATCTGTCTAACCCCGGCAAAGAACATTGGGAAGAAGTGAAGTGGATATTCAAGTATCTCATAAGAACATGAAATTTATGCCTCCACTTTGGAGAAGGTAAAGCCGAGTTGCAAGGCTTTACGAATGCTGATTTAGGGGGAGATGCCGACTCGAGGAAGTCGACGATTGTATAAAGGTGTTGTTGATGTTGAGTTATGCTGGAATTTTATCCTTTATATATATATAGGGCATGTTATATTTACAAACTTTTTTGTTTACAAACTCTTACAAATTTGTAAACGGATCGTTCCCACACACACACATATATATATATATATATATATATATATATATATATATATATATATTGGTGTTGATGTCTGAACTCATTTTTGGTTGAACACACATTTGACTAGGATGTTTACTTCTCTATGCCTCTTTGCCATTCTAAAGTGGAGCAAGTCACTACTGATGATCTGGTTGAGCTCTCAGAGATAGAGAAGCAAAATCTGGGGCAGGTTTGTATTAGTTCCTGACAGTATGTGTTTATCTCTGTGAATTTACTGATAAGTCATACTGGACTGGAACCACGATTTTCTGGTAGCTTTCACTAAGTATTAACTAAGCTATATGATGTATGACAGGTACAATGATAAAAGTATTTAAATTTTTCCTATCAATTATTATCTTACATGTTCCCACATTAGTCTAGGATAACTATGTTAAAATTGATTATCCTTTGTGGTCATATGCCTTGTCCCATGAAAATAGATGTCTATCTGTTGATTTAACACCATATGGTTTTATGCAGACTCCACGACTAAGATCTTTCTCTGATGTTGATAATACTCCACAATCTTTGCTCGTTTTCAGTGGCAACAGGAATGTACATGGTTTATATGACATTTTGCTAAATTACAGGTAGTCAGTTTATATGGCAAATTTATTAACGGTTAATCTTCTTGGTAGCTTCTTATCAAGTTTTTACATGCTTCATTGGGTTCGGCTTATTTAATATTTGCTCTTTTATTTTCTATGTTGTTTCTGACTATTCTGTTGTCTGCAGATCTTTCATTTCCTCACTGTCTGGTATGGACGTACCTGTATTGTGCTCTCCTGTGCCATTTCAGAATGCTGCTTTGTCTTCTCCTGATGTATGTGATTAGTCCTCAACCTTAGTATACTATCTTAGCTGATGTTTAATTAAATTATTGAACTGTTATGCCAATACTTTACCTAGATTGCTTGGGCAATAAGTGACATCTTTGAAGCCTTTGATGACATGGCAAATATTACTTGTGCACTAGACTTGTTTAGATGTGTTGTTATCTTCCAGAAAATATACTAGAGGAACCTGTAACATGGAAACTGGAATTTCTTTCCTTTTCCCACTTATTTAAAATTACATTAGTTATTTTTCATTTACTAGCTGTTAAATTAACACATGATCGAAAGCTAAATGCTTCTCTGTTTCAGATTAAATTCATGGAGATGAGAAAAGCTGAACATATTGCTGCCTCTTATAATGGATCGATTTGTAAAACTGGTGAATCTGCACAAGGTTCATCAGATAGCCTTTGTTGTAGCATTGAAATTAAGGATGCATTTCTTCCACCATGGATTATTTGTGGTGTGTGTACCTTGCTGGGCTCTGAAGGAAGAAACTTTGAGGCAAGGTATGGGTGGCTTTTGCTTGGTGATACCTATTACCTTGTTGAATTAATTTTTTAGACACGACAAAATTCACGTGGTCAATACCATTTAGTTATCATTAGTTATTCATATATAACTGCCCAGAGAAATTGGGCTTATGGTTAAGACTAACTGTCGATAGCCTTGTTACAGCATAGACCATTTATTAGGTTATTGAGGGGAAAACATGGGTATATATGTAGATCCGAGTAACCTATTTTTTTTGTTTTTTAAAGCTGGTTTTGCAGATAAGTCAACCACGAGCCAGTCTTCTGATTTCGGATTGTCTGGGCATGTGGTGAGCTGATAGTGTGCATTATGGCTTGTGGGCTAAATAAACCAGTTTTTTAAGTAGTTATATGATGGAACCTACTTTTATTAATCTGAAATTGCAAAAAACATAAATGGAGACCATCTCCTTACAAAGATAAAATGCAGAAAAATACACCTTAAGATCTCAACTCCCCCTCAAAGCCAACATACCTAGGCTCCAAAAGTTTCCTAGAGATCCCCTAATTTTTCCACTAAGCCAATACTGAATTCATGCCTACCTCACTACACACACTCACTCTCCTTTTATCCTATACTTTATGAATATTCTAGAATAATTTCCATAACAAACTAACTAATTCACTAACTTTCAAGCCCATAGCCCATCAATACTCCCCCTCCAAAACTCATCTTGTCCTGTGAAGGAAGAGGACAGATAATGTGAGAAAACATCCACCAGGGTCCCACTACTTGAAACATATTGACCAAGTAATTCTTGAAACCAAAAAATTGTCACTTGCTTCCATTCCTGCAGTGCTAAAATACTGGGATTGCTTACTCCTTGAAAATTGCATCTCTGTCTCGAGCATACTGTCATTTGTGACAATTGAATCTGAAATATATTGTATATTCAAGTATACGAGTTTGTACAAGGAGGCTCTCTATTTATAGAGACTAAAAGACCTAATGGGATGACCTAATGGGCCAAGCCCACAATCTAGACTATTCTAGACTATTCTAATAATAAATTAATATTATTTCTAACACTCCCCCTCAAGCTGGTGCGTATATATCAAAAGCTCCCAGCTTGTTACAAATATGATCTATTCGGGGACCTCTAAGAGCTTTAGTGAATACATCCGCAAGTTGATCATTGGAATTGACAAATGCTGTCTCGATCTCCCTTGACTGGATCTTTTCTCTAACAAAATGACAGTCAATTTCTATATGCTTGGTCCTCTCATGAAAGACTGGGTTAGAGGATATATGCAAAGCGGCTTGGTTGTCACAAATGAGCTTCATAGGCCTTTGTTCACAGAGATGGAGTTCCTTCAGCAATTGACTCAGCCAGATGAGCTCACAGGTTGCATTTGCCATTGCCCGATATTCTGCCTCCGCACTGGATCTGGCGACCACAGTTTGCTTCTTACTCTTCCAAGAGATCAAATTTCCTCCGAAGAGAACACAATACCCTGAGGTGGATCGTCTATCTGAAGGAGAACCTGCCCAGTCAGCATCTGAATAACTAGAGATCTCTGAACTCCCTTTATTTGTATATAATAAACCTCTTCCTGGCGCCTTTTTAATATATCGGAGAATTCTAATAACTGCATCCCAATGGGAGTCACAAGGAGAATCAAGAAATTGACTTGCAACACTCACTGCGAAGGAGATATCTGGCCTTGTCACAGTAAGATAATTCAATTTTCCAACTAGTCGGCGGTAGCGACTAGGATCTGGCAGTGGCTCCCCCTGTCCTGGTAATAACTTAACATTGGGGTCCATAGGTGTATCAATGGGTTTACAACCTAACATGCCAGTCTCATCTAGGATATCCAGTGCATACTTCCTCTGACAGATGGAAATGCCCCGCCTAGACTGTGCAACTTCGATCCCCAAGAAATATCGAAGTCTGCCAAGATCTTTGGTCTGAAATTGATTGAATAAATGCTTTTTCAACTGATCAATCCTGGTCTGATCACTGCCTGTAATGATAATGTCATCAACATAGACTAGGAGATAAATGCACTGGCCAGAAAAGTTATGCCGGTAAAAGACAGAATGATCGGCTTTGCTTCTGATTAATCCAAAGGATTCAACAACTGAACTAAAGCGGCTAAACCAGGCCCAAGGAGATTGCTTCAGGCCATATAAAGATTTCCGAAGTTTACATATCATTCCAGAACTCTCCCCCTGAGCAACAAAACCTAGTGGTTGCTCCATATAAACTTCCTCCTGCAAGTCACCATGTAGAAAAGCATTCTTAATATCAAGTTGGAGAAGGGGCCAGTGATGAATGGCGGCAAGGGCAAGAAACAGGCGAACAGAAGCCATCTTAGCAACAGGAGAAAAGGTATCCCCATAATCAAGACCAAAGATCTGTGTGTATCCCTTGGCCACTAGCGAGCTTTAAGGCGATCAACAGTGCCATCAGGACCAACTTTAACTGTGAACACCCATCGACAACCAACAACAAACTTCCCGAGAGGAGCACGAACAAGATCCCAAGTGCCATTGGAGTAAAGTGCCTGCATTTCATCAAGCATCGCCTGGCGCCACCCTGGATGAGATGAGATAGTGCTTCACCTGTGGTTTTAGGGATGGAAACAGAAGAGATACTAGAAACAAAAGTAAAATGTTGTGAAGAAAGTCTGTCATAACTCAAGAAAGAATAAAGGGGATGAGGATTTCGAGTGGATCGAATACCTTTCCGAAGGGCAATGGGAGGAGTCTCTGATGGAGGATCCGGAGGAGAAGAGCCGACGGGAAGGGGCGATGAGTCATCAAGAGGCAAAGTCGGAGGAGGTGCAGGCTGACGACGCTGGTATGTGAGGAGCGGACGATCTGCAGGTATGGAGGTAATTGGTTGCTCCTCTGGAATAGGGTCACCTGCAGCTGGTAAAGACAAATCAAGAAAAGGAACAGGAAGGACCTGATCAACTTGGGACACTGGAGACGGAGTAGAGTGAAAAGGCTGCTGATCAAGGAAAGTGACATCAGCAAAAACGATATAACGCTTGAGATCAGGAGAATAGCAACGATACCCTTTTTGAAAACGTGTATACTCAAGGAAAATACATTTGAAGGCCTTGGATGTCAACTTGTCTTTACCTGGAGTAAGATTATGAACAAAACAAGTACAACCAAAAATATGTAAAGGCAGAGGATAAGAAGGTGCTCCGGAAAACAAAATACTGTGGGGAACATCATTATTTAGCACAGAAGAGGGCATGCGGTTGATAAGGAAACATGAGGTGATAATAGCATCTGCCCAAAAACGGAGTGGGACGTTCATATGAATGAGAAGGGTACGTGCAGTTTCAACTAGATGTCTATTTTTACGTTCAGCGACTCCATTTTGTTGTGGAGTGTGGGGACAGGTAGTCTGGTGTATCGTCCCTTGTGTATCCAGAAATTTAGAAAATTCAAGAGACAAATACTCTTTTGCATTATCACTGCGCAAGATTTGAATAGAAGCACCAAATTGAGTTTTTATTTCTGCACAAAACTTTTGATAAATTGAAAATAACTCAGAACGATTTTTCATTAAATAAACCCAAGTGCAACGGGAGAAATCATCAATAAAGGTGACAAAATACTGAAAACCCAAAACAGACGTTGTTCGACTCGGACCCCAAATATCAGAATGAACAATAGAAAAAGGAGCATCAGCTCTTTTATTGACTCTATTAGCAAAGGAGGAGCGAGTGTGTTTTCCTTGCTGACAAGAATGACAGTTTAAAGACTTAAGATTGGATAAAAAGGGAACCATATGCTGAAGCTTGGAGAGGTTTGGATGACCCAGACGGCTGTGAATTAGCTCAGGAGACTCTGTGAGAGAACAGGCTACTGGAGAAGGTGGTGCAATCAGATAGTAGAGACCTCGTGACTCAACGCCTGCTCCAATCGTCTTCCCCGTACCCGAATCCTGCATAGAAAAAGATTGTTTAGAGAAGGTAATAGTACATGAATGAGAATGAATCAACTGGCTAACAGAGATTAAATTAAAATGAATGCCAGGTATATAATAAACAGAACTCAAAGTTAAAAGAGGAGTTGGGTTGGCTTCCCCAATTCCACGAGCAGGAGCCTTAGTGCCATCAGCAAGAGTGACAGGGGGTAGGTTATTAGAATAAGAAAGTGAAGTGAAGAGATCTTTATTACCACAAAGATGATGAGTAGCACCTGAGTCTATTATCCAGGGTCCAAGAGATGATTGATAAAAACAAGCAACATGATTACCAGTGTCTTGAGTAGGATGCTGAGAAGAAACCTTCTTGAGAAGTGCCTCATAGTCGACACTTGAAAGAGTTACTAATCCAGTTGAAGGTGGCGTAACATCAGTTTGAGCAAAGTTGGCAGTCGGTGGCTTCAAATGAGGGTACTTCCTATAGCAGCGTTCTTCAAAATGCCCAAGATTCTGGCAATAATTGCAACGAGGCCTCTGTCTGCGGCCACGTCTGCGACTGCGTCCACTGTTCCAATTGGAATCACTGGCCCGAGAAAAGAATGGAGATGGGGTAGTACCGGAGATGATGCCAGTCGTGTTTTTGGACGCATTATTTGAGCCCTCCATCACAAAATAAAAGGAGATGACCATAAAATAGCAAAGAACTACAAGAAAGCAAGAAATCGCGCAAAAACGTTGCACAAAAGTGTCCAAACAACGGGTTTTTCACTGATATCTTTCAAACGGATGAGACCCACAACGAACGGAGACCAGATCTGGAGAGAGGGTGAGGAGGCGAGCAAGATGGTGGTGGTCCGGCCTGGAACGGTGGCCGGACGGTGGCTCACGCGCCGGAACAGTGGCTCGGCCGCCGAGACTTCCACCGGCGCGTGGATGCTCCGATCAACACGCGGCTTGGACAGACAGGGTCGCCTCCCTGAGCAGCTCCTGATCGCGTGGTGGTTGGTCGGAAAAGTCGCCGGAAAAGCAGTCTGACGGCGGTGAACAGTGGCGGACGGTGGTTTTGTGGCGGTTTCCGGCGATGAACGGAGGCTTTCTATTTATAGAGACTAAAAGACCTAATGGGATGACCTAATGGGTCAAGCCCACAATCTAGACTATTCTAGACTATTCTAATAATAAATTAATATTATTTCTAACAGTGACAAACACATCTTTCAAGTGGCTATTGACCTCAGGATAACCTTGGACAACAACACCAACATCATCCACCAGCTTGAGTATTATTTTAGTATTTATGTATGTTGCACATGTCGTTCCTTCAAACATCCAGGTGCACAGAGTTGAATCTTTCCATTCCTTCAAACTCTGGTTCGTGTTGCTCGTCATCCCCTGCTGTTCTTCTAGGTCCCTCATCACCAGCCCCTGATTTGGCGAGTTTACAGCGTCACACAAGAAGCAGAAGTTGTGCCGCCATCGTTCCGCCATCTCCTCTGGCGACAGTTGTTGGAAACGTGCGTTGCACCTATCACCGCCATTGACATTTCCCACGGAAGCTCCCTGCATCTACTCTTGCCCTTCTATATCTTCAGCTGGCACTTGCACAAGTGAAGGGTTTGTTTCATTGGACCGAATGTGATGCCCAACAACCTTATTATTCACCCCTTGGAAATTATTAGAATCTGGGTCTTTGTTGTTCGGGCCTGTGGCCGTTGGCCCATTAGTGGTTTCCATAATATGTATATTGGGCCTATTATTTTCACACTTCACCCTACGGCCCAAGTGAGTCATCATCTTCTCCTCTAGCTTTTCTTTTTCTTCTATCCCTTGCACAGACGTAACTTCCACCGTTTGAGCTAAAGCCATCTTCTGATCTATGGAGACACAATCCAGATCGATCTGGCCATGGAGATGCAGCTTCACCTGTTCTTCATCTTCTTTCTCTCCTCCTCCGTCATCAACTATTTCTTTTATTTTTTCTGCTTCTTCTTTTGCATCTTCTTCTTCTTCGCTCATTTCTTCTTCATTTTCTACTGCATCTTTTTTTCTTTCCTTTTCTGCAACTTCATCTTCATCCATTTCTTCTACATATGCATTTTCATTATTTTTCCCTTCTTTTTTCTCTGATCCTGCTACATCTTCTTTGTCTCTTTCTTCTTCCTGTTCTTGTTTGATTCCTATTTCTTTCGCTTCTTCTGCTATTGCGTCCTTTTCTTTTTCTTCATCGATTTCTTCTTTTTCTTCTTCTGCACCATCATCATCTTCTTCTGTTTTTTGATCTGCGTCTTCTTCGTCGTTCGCTTCTTCCGTTGTTGCTGCTTCTTTGATTCTTTTAACGCTCTTAGTCTTCCACAACTCGTATTCAATCCTTTGTCTCTCCATCTTCTCTATTGCCTCATCGAAGGCCTTCACAATTTTTTGCAAACCTTCCCTAAGCTCTAAGTCACTGATTCTTCCCATTTTTTTTATAGATCTGGATTAAAGAGCACTCCCAGGATTGTAGTGCTTTGATACCAAATTGATGGAACCTACTTTTATTAATCTGAAATTGCAAAAAACATAAATGGAGACCATCTCCTTACAAAGATAAAATGCAGAAAAATACACTTTAAGATCTCAATTCCCCTTCAAAGCCAACATACCTAGGCTCCAAGAGATCCCCTAATTTTCCCACTAAGCCAATACTGAATTCATGCCTCCCTCACTACACACTCACTCTCCTTTTATCCTATACTTTAAGAATATTCTAGAATAGTTTCCATAACAAACTAACTAATTCACTTTCTTTCACAGCCATGGCCCATCACTATACTTGCACAAATTTACACTCACTAACTCCTCATAAATTTTGATACAAGTCATTAAATGAATCTTGGTCCCTTTGTAACTTTTTTTTGGGGTCCTATTATTTATTTTTTTATTGATCAAATATACCTCAATAGTTTGTGCAAGTATTTTTTTTCTTATTGTTATGGGTGGATCTCTGATAGTGAGGGTTTCCAATATGACAATGGAAAATTTTAAGTAGGTCCCAAAAATCAAAGTTAAAGCATTAAATAAAGAGATTAATGTTTCTCATGTTGTAGGAGAAAATTTTAGCTCTTACACACATAAAAATGTGTAGGGGCCATGTTTTCTCTCTCTTCTCTTCACATGGTTTCACGTAGGGTCCACACACTTTCATGTATGTATAGTAAATAAAATTATCTCCCACAACACTGGAAACATTAACATAAAGAAAATTATTAAGTTTACATGATCTGGAATTCCAGATATTTCTTCCCATGACTCCCTATATGTGTTCAGCTGCATTGAGCTTATCCTTTAGGGCTTCATTGCTTGTGTCAACCTGTCGATTGTTCTACACCGGTGCTTGATAAAATAAACAATTTGCATCATGCATTTTCTTATTGCAAACCTAAATGATGCCTAATTCTATCGTATGAGTTACAGTTTTGTGGTGGAACCTAGCTCAATTGGCTTGAATGTTGCTTTAAAATCAACTTGTGAGAAGCCAGAATCTGAAGCAGCTGGTAGTCAAAGCTTGGCAAACTGCAGTGGTACATTTGGTATTCCAGAAGCTACAGTCACGTCTTGCTTGTGGTCATGTTCACTAAAAGGCTTAAAGTACTCTGATGGTTTTTGTACAGCTTCTCTATCACCTGTATGATCATCCTCAATAATTGATTTTCATCACATGGCTGATTAATTTATTTTAAGGCTTGCCCTTCCCTTACCCTCCATAAAATAATGAAAAAGAGAACAAATTCCTTTATTGTTTGTGTTAAAATCTAATGGCCTGTTTTACTAGTGCCACTGTCATACTTATGACTCATGTCTCAGTACAGAATCTGCACGAAAAATAGTTGAATAATGCAAACTACAAACTACAAATTGTATTAGAGGCATGCTATTCAGAGTTTGGAGTTGTTATTCTCCATACATTCCTTTTTGTACTTCCTTTTTCAAAATGTATAGAATTGTGCACATATTTCTTAGTTTGTGCAAGCATTTTTTCCCGCAATTTCAGTTGGGCTTGTGATTAGTGTTGCTTACGACAAGGACATGTAAGTTTGAGCTTGAAATTATCAAATAATTTGTTTCCTCATTTCCTATGGTCTTTTTTTATCAAGTAATTTAATAATGTACTGCAACAGTTTGCCAAAAAATGCAAATCATTATGACATTGATAAAAGAAATGAGAGAAGTCACTAATCAAAATGTCAAAAGTAATTTATATCAATCTGAAATGTCGTTCAGCAGTGTCGGTTGTCCTTGAATGTTTCATGTATTTATTTATAAAGAGAACTTGGAAGCCCTTGGAATACCAGAAAGAGTGTGTACTCTACTGGATCTTTTTCTACCGAAATGCATATGCAAAATATAAAGCGAAAACAAGGAATAAGTTATTTTATCTACCTTTTTTTCATGCCTACCTTACTTACCATTTTTCAACACCGTTACATCAGAATATTAAGAGGAGAGAGAAATGATAAAGTTAGTTTAGACTCAAATCTAATGGTGTTGGAAAATGATAGGTAAGATAGGCATAAAAAAATATAAGTAGAATAATCTATCTCCGAAAACAAAACTTAAATAGTTGCACAAAAGAAACTCATTAAATTATTTGTATTGACTTGTTGATTTCATTTCTTGAGTTCTAATAATTATTAGAGTAAACCAGCTATGCACTTTGCACATCTTATATCATTATAGCTTAAATAAGGAAACTATATTTTTATTCTAAATTAATTGGGGCTGGTACCGGATGAATCCAAATGAAAAATATGAAAATATTAAGGACACATATGGCCAGGATTTGTCTCTCTCTCTCTCTCTCTCTCTCTCTCTCTCTCTCTCTCTCTCTCTCTCTCTCTCTATATATATATATATATATATATATATATATATATGAGGGGGAAGGATCGTTTAGCAATGACTAGACCAGGGTCACAAAGGTGGAGGACTGGATGGAAGAGGGTCGCTCTTACAAGGACATCCTTAAACTGCACAATGGAGGATTGTCGATGGAAGAGGATTATGTATCGGGGGAAGAGGAATAAGATCCCAACGAAGATTATCTTATGGACGAAGGGGAAAAGCAGGAGGAGGTGGATCCAGAAATAACCAAGGAAGTTAGTGTTAGATCCCACATTGGTGGGTTAATAAATAGGATGGGGGGAGGGGTCTATATAATAAAGTCCCCCCTTTTCCTTTTCCCTTACACCTTCCTCTTCTTCTTCTTCTTCTTATTATTTTATAATATTATTTGTTATAATATTATATTGAGTGTATTTTGTGAGGAGTATTCCTAGTTCAAGAGAGAGATAAAATTGTTCTCTCTTTGTGATAAACGAGAGGTTGTAATTTTGGAGTTCCCATAGTGAAAAGTTTCTACTCTTGCCCGTGAGTTTTTTACCTCAGTTACTTTGAGGGTTTTCCCACGTAAAATATCTGTGTCCATTTATTGCTTTCAATTTCCTTTATTAGTTGTTATTGTTGATGCACTTGAGTCACCATAAGTTATTATAATTGCATACGTTTTAGTTTTAAGGCCTTTTATAATTTTAATAATTGCAGACGTTTCAGTTTGCATGACTTTATGTTTGGTTTATGGCTATTTCCGTTTTGTATTAGTTTTAAGACCATTGATGGTCCTTTATTGTCAGTTACTTTTTGTATTGCCTGATTAAAAGGCTTGTTAGAAGGATGTGAAAAGGAGACTTTTGATGATTGAAGAATGATAATATAGCAGAAAACTTCTGCATTTTACTGAAAGCCTACTTTCCATATAATTTTGCATCATTTGGTATCAGAGCTCAGGTTGCCTTAAAGATGGCTGAGCAGGAAAATCGCGGAGGTCGTGGTCGTGGTCGTGGACGAAGAGGTCGTGGCGGCAGAGGACGCAGTCAACCTACCGATGACGATTATTATACTGATGCGAGAGATGCTGAAATTGAGGAAAAGAACAGACGGATCCAAGAACTCGAACAACTGCTTGCAGAGGCACAGTTGCACGGGTCAGAAAGGAGACAGGAATCTGAACTGTCATCTCTAGAGGAAGAGGAGGACAAAAATCCATTTTGGAACCGCGAAAGACCAAGGAGGGGTCGAACCGGTGATCAATCCTTCACATCCAATTTTGGGATGAAGATCGAGATTCCAGAGTTTGAGGGATCAACTCACCCTGATGTATTCATCAACTGGTTACACACCGTTGAGAGGGTTTTTGATTTAAAAAACCTCACAGATGAGCAAAAGGTGAAATTAGTAGCAATCAAAATGAGGAAGCATGCCTCAATCTGGTGGGAACATGTCAAGAAACAAAGAATCAGAGACGGAAAGTCTAAAATTCAAAGATGGGACAAGATGAAGAAATTGTTGCAGCACAAATTTTTGCCTGCTCAATACAGACAAGAGGCCTTTATTGAGTATCACAATTTCAGGCAACGTGATCTTACGGTGGAACAATACACCACTGAATTTGATCGTCTTCGAATGCGTTGTGACATGGTCGAAGAAGATGAACAAGTGATTGCTCGATATCTAGGTGGATTGCGAGATGAAATTTCTGATGTTGTGTACTTACAACAGTATTGGTCTTATGAAGATGTGTGCAAACTGTCCTTGAAGGTGGAAGGACAATGTAAAAGAAAGGGTGACCGTTCGAAGTTTCAATCAAGATTTCCTAGAAAGGAATTCGGAGCTAAATCAGTGAGTTCATCAGCAACTTCACCTGCGGAAAGGGGTTCTACGCCTCAAAAAAATATTCCCAACAAGGAAGGGTCGAGTAAAGGAAGTAGTGTAGGGAAGAGATGTTTCAAGTGCCAAGGAATTGGACATTTTGCTGCAGATTGTCCAAATAAACAGATTGTGACATTTGCAGAGGCTCCAATTTTTGATGAAGAACCAATCTATGACAATGTCGATGAACAAGAAGAAGCAGAATCTGAAGAGGTGGGGATTGTCTATGCTGATACCGGAGAATCACTAGTCGTTCAGAGGGTTTTGAATGTGGATATGGTGAATGATGAAACATGGCTTCGACACAATATTTTCCACACCAAGTGCACCAGCGGGGGAAAAGTATGCAGTGTGATTATAGACGGAGGGAGTTGTGAAAACGTGGTTTCTACCACTATGGTAGAAAAATTGGGGCTGAAAACAGAAGAACACCCACAACCCTACAAGCTGTCTTGGCTAAAAAAAAGGAATGAGGTGAAAGTAACCAAAAGATGCCTAGTGTGTTTTTCAATTGGGAAAATATATTCAGATGAAGTATGGTGCGATGTCATTCCTATGGATGCTTGTCACATTTTATTAGGCAGGCCATGGCAGTTTGATAGGAAGACAAAACATGATGGTTTCAAAAATACTTACACCTTTAAGAAGGATGGCCACCTTATTAAACTAGCACCTTCAGATTGGAGGAAGGAAGCAAAGAATTCTTTGCTGTCCAAGTCAGAAATTTTAGAACTGGCAAAATTCGCAGATGTAATGCCAGAAGAATTGCCGCCTGGATTACCACCTGAAGAAGTTGACTATTGACGCAGATTCGAGGGTGAATCTTTTCGTAGCAGGGGAGGATGATGCACTTGAGTCACCATAAGTTATTATAATTGCATACGTTTTAGTTTTAAGGCCTTTTATAATTTTAATAATTGCAGACGTTTCAGTTTGCATGACTTTATGTTTGGTTTATGGCTATTTCCGTTTTGTATTAGTTTTAAGACCATTGATGGTCCTTTATTGTCAGTTACTTTTTGTATTGCCTGATTAAAAGGCTTGTTAGAAGGATGTGAAAAGGAGACTTTTGATGATTGAAGAATGATAATATAGCAGAAAACTTCTGCATTTTCCTGAAAGCCTACTTTCCATATAATTTTGCATCAATTGTTCTGTCCGATGGAATCCTATTCCCTAATAGTGGTATCAGAGATGAGGTTTTCTTAGTATGCTCTGTGACTGCAGCTTAGACTGATTTGTCACATCAGAAAAGAATTATCCTTGGAGAGTTGTTGGGTTGACATCAGTATTAATTTATACTGAGGTGCTGCAAGTGTTATACAGAGACTATTACTGTATTCAGTTACTGTTCGCGATCGGAGCATTCCTCTGAAGAGGTATTTTGGGTGATTAAGTGCGTGTGGAAAGTTTGTCACAAAGACGAAACAGTCTAAGGAGATTGGCTATTAAGTGGGACCATTAGTGACCCCTCCAATCTTTCCTGGAAACTTTCCAGGTGCACTGTCCAAAATACTGGTTGAAGGAAACCAAGTGAAGCAGTGGGAGCTATTTTGCAGCAAAAGAAGTTCTTGATAGAATCATGACAACAAAGGTTGATATTGGCAAATTTGACGGAACAAAGTTCACGTTATGGAAATTGAAGATGAAGGCATTTTGACCAAAGATAATTGTGTGGAGGCCATCAGTGCTCGGCCGCCGGAAATCATAGATGACAAGTGGAAGAAACTTGATGAACTGGCCATTTTTGATCTGCACCTATCCCTTTCGGATGATATATGATCCGGGATAGAAGAAAAGAAAACATCCAAGGAGATATGGGATCACCTCACAAAACTATACTCGTCCAAGTCACTTCACAACAAAATATTTCTAAAGAGGAAGCTTTACACCCTTCGGATGTCTGAATCCACTTCAGTAACAGAGCATATCAATACTCTGACCTCTCTATATTCTCAACTCACATCATTGGGACATAATATTGAGGTAGCTGAGCGTGCTGAGATTCTACTCCAGAGTCTTCCAGATTCATATGACCAACTCATCATCAATATCACTAATAACACCGAATCCTTGGCGTTTGATAGTGTTGCTGCCGCAGTTCTTGAAGAAGAAAGACGGCAAATAAGCAAAGAAGAAAGGCTGGCAAGTTCGCATCAAGCGGAGGCCTTGACGATGACGAGAGAACGGTCAGTGGAACGTGGTTCCAGTGGGAGTCACAGACAAGGAAGGTCAAAATCTAGGAGTAAGAAATTTGTCAAGTGTTAAAACTGTGGCAAGAAAGG